CCAGTAATTAGTTTAAAGACTTACTCGATGCTGAAAGCTGGTGTATCCAAAACAAATAAATGCTGTTTGCTGTTTCTGGAGACCAATGAAGATTATCAACTGTTTCGAATTCTTCTTCGTAGGGTGGTAAGATTGTTGCGCTGTTGATACTGGACTCCATCATCATGTTGTTGAGGGTGCTGAGGTTCTGTTGTGCTTTCTTCGAGATTTTATTTGAAATGGGTATACATGTGAAGAGGATCTTGGAGTTTGGGAAGGTTTTGTTGGCTGTGGCGATTAATTTCTGGGCTTGGTTAAAGGAGGTCTTTGGTATCTGATCACGGTTGTTGAGGCCTACATGAAGAATAATGGTAGTAGGTTTGGGATCATGGTCGTATGATTCCAGGATTGACTGTATGTGATGGATTTGGGCACCGGGGTAAGAATGTATTTCGGTGTCTGAACTGGTTTTGGTAATTCGATTCAGGTTAGATGATCCAATTATTAAGGTTGATTTCTTTAGAGCAGGTAGTTTCCATTATGATTTGTCCTTGATTTGGTGATACGGTTTGGTAGCGGATATAATGGTCGTCGACGGTGTGATTGGTACTGGTTTGGTAGTTGTTAGAATTGTAGCATTGGGAACGGACTGGGATCTGGTTCGAGGAGGGGAAGGTCTGGATACACGTCTCGACTTGGATGGAGACTGAGGGGTGGTTTGCTGGTCCAAAAACGCACAGAAGGAAGAAAGGTTGGCGGATCCTGGATCACGTGGTGAAGATTCAGATGGTGTGGATGGGGAAGACGAGTCTGAAAGTGAAAAGAGAAGGGGTGTGCCCTCTCTACGAGAGCGTTTACCTATGTCTGCTGGACTAGGAGTAGGTGAACTTCGGGCTCGTTTAGGGGTTTGGAGAAACGATGCGGTCGACGGCAGGTGATGATAAAGACTTGGTACGAATGGTGGTCAGCTTCTCTTGAAGTGTGGTTTGGTAATGGTCGATCAGGACCTGTGTAACCTTACAGAGCCATGTCCGATTGAGGGATCTAATATTCGCGTCCACAGCTGATGTTTTCATTGCTGGACGGATAAAACTATCCAACTCAGAGACTTTGCGTTTGAAGGTAAACGCTGGTTGGCCTTGCTGTTGAAGGGTAAGGATGGAGGCACTGCAAAACTTGGAAGAACACCTTCACAAAGGGTTCTTCCTCCTTATGAGTGGGGACTGGTTGGCGTCGGTGGGCTGGTAGTCGTTTCTGTTGTAAGATACGTGATATTGGTTTGGTTAACGATTAGTGTTTCTATTTCTGGCTTCTTGCCAGTGGTTGTTGTAGTTGGGGAGCATAATGAAAATAACTTGGGGTTAGAAGGGAATGTACAGCGGATGTAACAGGAGGAAACTGTATATGCTAGCGTGAAAATGTTGGGATCAAATTATGCAAATAAGTCAAACTGAGTTTGGGGATATATAAAGCAAGATGAAAAATGCAAAAAAATATATATTTAGGTGATAAATAACGCTAACAATGATGTGAAAAATTATAACAAATAAAACAAAAACTTACGCAATTGACGGTTTCTGAGTTATGCCTTTGTATGTATGTCAATGTCACCTTGTTCATCTTTGAATTAGATTATTAGGTACACTGTATATAACAGAAATATGGAATTTGGCTATTCTTGGTTTGACATTTAATCACAATTATCAATTATTGTTACAATGTCTTAACGTTCTGCAAAGCGTGCCTCTGAATATGAATCGGCAAATTATTTGTGATTATGAAAAAGTGTCGGGGCCCCAAGCAGAAAGATTAATTTATGAAATTTGAAAGAACAACGTAGAGATAAAATATTTGCCCAAAGCGTACATACAGCAGCTAAAAATATGATCAATCAAATAATAATGTATAAATCTGTCTTTTATTTGTGTTCACTGAGCCTTAATTTGTAGTAACATGTGGTGCATATTAAAAAATCTCAAAAATTTTACTACTCGGACATTTTAACTAATCCAACATTGTTCTACAGTGATAATTTGAAATTTCATTATTAAGTCACTAGAACATTTGTTGTCATTTCTGACAGCTGGTAGTGTTTGTATGTTACCTTGTCTGACTAGCTATCTTTTATACTGCAGGCAGCTGGAATGGAATAATTTAAAATGAAAAAGTTTTAAAAGATATCAAAATACCTCAACTGTACTCAGTGGTGTAGAGTTCAGATCCTTTGTATTCTGATAGTCATGTACCACCATGTTGGTCAGGCGACACTTTACGTTGGATTTTAAGACAAGCAATGTCTGCTCTCGCCATAGTTTGATGTCTACTGACTTACTTGCTGATGTTTGCTTGTCCAAAGGAGTATCGGACATTCTTAAGAATTTTCTAGCCTTCCCATCTTCATATACAGAAGTTTCTTTGATCTAAAATAGAAAGCAAAATCATTCATTATGAAATTTCAGGTAAGTGGTTATGTAGCTATTTGTTCAGTTAATAATGCTCAAATTGAGCTTGTGTATTGCTTTTGACATGTATATATGTTTTATATTTAGTGCTGTGTTCTGAATGTCTGTACTTTCATAATGTTATATGGATAGTGTTTTATATGCCCACAGTAATTGTTATTGCCCTTGTTCTTGATAATTTGTTATAGACTTAATGGAGAGCTGATTTCTTCATAGAAATTTGGTGAAAATGTTTATAACTTATTGATGAACCGTATTTAAAATCAGACGAATCAAATATTTAGTATGAGTTATTGCCATAGAAATGTTGTAAACACTCTAGAAGGCACAATTTTTGATTGTTTGTGTCGAAACTTAGTGTGAATGTTAGTAATCACCCAAGGATAAACCCCATTGAAAACCAGCAAATTTTAAAAATTAGGAGTTATTGCCCTTGTTCTTGAAAACACGTTTTTAGCTCTTTAACAGTCTTGATGGTTTTGATGAAACTTTGAGTGTAAATTCACCCAAGGATGAACCCTATTGAAAGTAAAAAAAAAATGTATGAGTTATTGCCCTTGTTCTTGAAAACTTTTTAGCTCATTAAACAATCTTGAAGATACAATTCTTGACAGATTTTGACAAAAAATTTGTGTTAGTGTTTATAATTACCCAAGGATAAAACTCATTGAAAATCAGTAAAATATTGAGTGTGTGTTATTGCCCTTGCTCCTGAAAACGCATTTAATTTCTAGCTATATTTCGGCAAAGCATGGTAATGTTATTCAGTATTGCCAAAAAGTTAAAAAGAAGTGTATGACTAAATGTTGAATATTTCATACTGGTGATTGTTACCGTACTGCCAAATATTTTTATTAAAAATCAAAGCTGCCAGTGGATGTATATTACCTTGCCTGGTAAGCTATCTTTGCATAAACTTAATATGCACTTTAGTGAAACAGGGGCCCAGTTCTTTATGTGTAATTCAATGTTCAACATTACGAGGCTGTTGCTAGGTCTCTTATACCTTGGCCAGGAAGATCATATGTGGTGGACAGAGTTAGTTCTAATTCCCATGCATACTCTTGTTTTCAGAATAGTAACTACAAAAATAATAATAACTTACGCTATGGAAGTAACCTTCCACAGATATTTTACGCTTGCTTGCTAGAGCAAAAACCTCTGGCACTGTTACAACTGGTTAAGGAATTCAGCCTCTTTCTCTTCACTTATTGGAAGAGAATTGCAGCAAAAAACCTGAGTTCCAGTTTCATGGTTTGTAGAGGATTTTTTTTTTGTATGGTATAGCCTTGTTGTGTTAAAGCAATAGCAACAACAGCAACCACGAACTTCTTTCATAAGAAATATGACTAAAAGAAATTCAATCAAGTTTGATTTTTAGAAACATTATTCTTGATATCATGGCTCAATTAGATTGAAAAATTTGGTTATCAATTCATCACACCAAACTTCACTTTTGGATATTGCAAAATACGAAGACCAGATGAATTAAGACTGATTGCTATTCTGGTATAGTGGACAATTTCTTAGGACAATTTCTTAAATTCTATGATAATGTTCCCTCAGTAAGAAAATTTTTACACCATTATGTATATTTCAGGGTGAAGCAATAAAGTTAAAGCAATGGAACTTTGGAAGAACCCTTTCCTGTGCCTAAACTATTTTTGTAAGTTTAATTGTCAAATTTGTAAAGTTAAGTATGCTCAAGTGCTCAAGTTGAAGCTTCAACTTGATTTGTTCAAAATATGTCAAATGTGGTTTGCAGATATTAGTCTAGTAATGAAATGTATATTGATGAGATTTTGGTCAAATTCAAATCTGGTATTAAGCAGATGGAGCAATTGCTGTGGACAATTATTTCAATTTGACTGTAAAAACATAATAGATGAATATACATGTGTAATCTACCGATGTTGTCAGGTTTGTACCGCTATTTATACGCCCACATGAATATGTGGTCGTATATTGTCGTCGTCCTTGTCCGTCGGTCTGTCGGTTCGTCCGTCAACATTTCTTGTGAGCACTATAGAGACTACAGTTTTTATCTGATTTTGATAAAATTTGGTTGATGCTTTAGATTGAGAAGCTCTTGATCAAGTTCGAACTTGACATATTTTGGATGAAAGGTTTTTGAGATATTGCCTTGAGAACGCCTTGAAATTTGTTAAAAATTGTTTGTGAGCAGGATTGAAGCTACAGTTTTCATCCGATTCTGATGAAACTTGATGTGATCATTGGAATTCATAAGATCTCGGATAAGTTCTAACTTGACGCATTTATGATGAACGGTTTTTGAGTTATTGCCCTTGATTTTGTTAAAACGCGTCGAAATTTGTTAGAAATATTTCGTGAGCAGGATTGAAGCTACAGTTTTCAACCGATTCTGATGAAACTTGGTGTGATCATTCGAATTGATAAGATCTCAGACAAGTTCTAACAAGAGATATTTTTGATGAATATTTTTTGAGTCATTGCCCTTGACTTTGTAAACACGCATCAAAAGTTGTTTTTTTGCCCTTGATAAGAGCTGTGTGATTTAATTGTTTCTTGTATTTGGGTTATTAATATTGATTTTAAAACATTTTTGTGGAATTATTTAGCATAAATAATTTCAATATGAGAAAATTCGTAATCTAGTCACTAAAGACTGTTTTATTATTTCTGACAGCTGCCAGTGGGCGTATGTTACCTTGCAACGCAAGCTATCTTGCATGTTGTACACCGCTCAATTGACGGGATACCCAATTCTACCGATTTTTTATACGCCCACATGAAATGTGGGGCGTATATTGCCGTCACCCATATCCGTCGGTCCGTCCGTCGATCCGTCCGTCCACTATTGCCCGTAAACACTCTACAAGGCACAATTCTTGACTGATTTTGACGAAACTTAATGTGGTTGTTTGTAATCACGCAAGGATGAACCCTATTGAAAATCAGACGAATCAAAAAATATTTACTATGAGTTATTGCCCTTGTTCTTGAAACGCTCGTAAACACTCTTGAAGGTGCAACCCTATCGAAAATCAGAAAATGAAAAATATTTAGTATGAGTTATTGCCCTTGTTCTTGAAAACGCGTTCAAATTTTAGCTTGTAAATACTCATGAAGGGACAATTCTTGACGGACTTTAACGAAATTTAGCTTGAGTGTTTGTTACCACGCAAGGATAAAGCCTGTTTAAAGTCAGAAAAATCGAAAAATAATTAGTATGAGTTATTGCCCTTGATCTTAAAAATGTGTTCAATTTTTAGCTCGTAAACACTCTAGAAGGCACAATTCTTGGCGGTTTTTGACAAAACTTGGTTTTACCGCGCTTAAGATTGAATATTTGTCTTCTAAAGTTTTCACGAGCTAAAGATTGAACACGTTTTCAAGAACCAGGGCAATAATTCATACTCAATATTATTCTGTATCGCCCTAAAGAGATCAAAAGAAGTGTATGACTGAAGGTTGAATATTTCATACTGGTGATTGTTATTACTGTACTGCTAAATATTTTTATTCAAAATCAAAGCTGCCAGTGGGCGTATATTACATTGCCTGGCAAGCTATCTTTGTTTTTTTTTAAGACCAAATTTGCATGGGGGCTACCCTTTTCAATGTACAAATTCGCTACCATAAATCAACAAAATATCTTATCATTACTTGTATCTTGATTGCCGGTAACACGTGTTAATCTCGTCATGTAATCCCCCAATTAAGATGTTAATTTGATATATTTCCACCTGATAATGTGTATTTTAAACCCATGTGATACACTTTTTATACGCCCACATGAAATGCGGGGTGTATATTGCCGTCACCTTATTCCGTCGGTCCGTTGGTATGGTTCTTTGTAATCACCCAAGGATGAACCCTATTAAAAATCAGACGAATCGAAAAATATTTACTATGAGTTAATGCCCTTGTTCTTGAACTGCCCAAGGATAAACCCTATCGAAAATCAGAAAAATCGAAAAATATTTAGTATGAGTTATTGCCCTTGCTATTGAAAACGCGTTCAATTTTTAGCACGTAATCAGTTTGATGAAACTTGGTGTGAATGTTCGTAATCACCCAAGGATGAACCCTATTGAAAATCAGAAGAATTGAAAAATATTTAGTATGAGTTATTGCCCTTGTTCTTGAAACCGCTTTCAAATTTAGCTCTTAAACACTAAAAGGTTTGATTCTTTCTGGATTTTGACAAAACTTGGTTTTATTAAAGATTGAATATTTGCCTTCTAGAGTTTTCACGAGCTAAAGATTGAACACGTTTTCAAGAACTAGGGCAATAACTCACACTCGATATTATTCAGTGTTGTGCTAAAGAAGTGTATGACTGAAGCTATCTTAATAACAACAAGATTCTACTTTCACTTTTACAATAAATTTTACGGTAGCCCTGTTTTTACTAAAAAAAGAAACCTTTGAGTCTTCATAGTATTTTATGCTGTCAATCTGTAAGGTCTATAATAATTATGGGCCTATATAACATAGACGTCGTTTCAGAAATCTTCGTTATTATTGGTAAATATTCATGCGCGACATTATGTAAACTCAAACTTTGTTTCATAAAATCGTTTTTATACGCCCACATGAAATGGGGACCGTATATTGTCGTCACCCATATCTGTCGGTCCGTCTGTCCACAATTGCTCGTAAACACTCTACAAGACAAAATTCTTGACGGATTTTGACAAAACTTGATATGAGTGTTGGTAATCACCCAAGGATGAACCCTATTGAAAATCAGAAGAATCGAAAAATATTTAGTATTAGTTATTGCCCTTGTTCTTAAAAACGCGTTCAATTTTTAGCTTGTAAACACTCTAGACGGGACAATTCTTGACAGATTTTTAATGAAACTTGGTATGAGTGTTGGTCATTAACCAAGGATGAACCCTATTGAAAATCAGAAGAAACAAAAAATATTTAGTATGAGTTATTGCCCTTGTTCTTGAAAACGTGTTCAATTTTTAGCTCGTAAACACTCTAGAAGGCACAATTCTTGATGGATTTTGACGAAACTTGGCATGAGTGTTTGTTATCATCCAAGGATAAACCCCATTGAAAATCGAAAAATATTTAGTATGAATTATTGTCCTTGTTCTTGAAAACGCGTTCAATTTTTAGAACGTAAACACTCTAGAAGGCACAATTCTTGAGGATTTTGACGAAACTCGTGTGAGTTTTCGTAATCACCCAAGGATGAACCCTATTGAAAATCAGAAGAATTAAATATATTTAGTATGAGTTATTGCCCTTGTTTTTGAAAACGCATGATTCTTGCTGGATTTTGACAAAACTTGGTTTTATTATTCGCTGAAGATTGAATATTTGCCTTCTAGAGTTTTCACAAGCTAAAAATTAAACACGTTTTCAAGAACATGGGAAATAACTCATACTCAATATTATTCATTATCGCCCTAAAGAGTTCAAAAGAAGTGTATGACTGAAGGTTGAATATTTCATACTGGTGATTGTTACTGTACTGCTAAATATTTTTATTCAAAATCAAAGCTGCTAGTGGGTGTATATTACCTTGCCTGGCATTTTTGATGGTAACAAATCTTCCTGCTTTTAAGTTCTCATTTATTGGTGTGTTCTTAAAAAACAAATGCACCACCGTGCTACCAGTAATGATATGTGTGGCCTATTGATCGGACCCTCTTTTTTCTGGTGCGTACAGAACTTTCCCTTTAATGGTGCTCATCTGAAAATAAACATTATATAATCAAGAAACTGTGAATCAAAGGTGTAGAGCAAGGTAAAATTTCTGTTAAGATATGTATAGCATTTGCCAATTATCAGGGGTTGATGTATGTCTTGAATGTATGTAAATAATCTTCAGAAGTACTAGAAATGTATGAAAATCGCACAATTCCTTAAAAAATACATAACCTGGGAATTTAATGTTCTATTTCCGTAGATGTTGAGTTCCAATTTGACGACTTTTCAATAAAAGATTTTTGCCCTCAACTTAGTAAAATCATGTCAAAATTTTTTGTGGGCTCAATTTCCAATTTGAACATGTTTTCAAGAACAAGAGCAATAACTCATATTCAATATTATTCAATATCACCCTTAAGAGTTCGAAAGAAGTGTATGACTGAAGGTTGAATATTTCATACTGGTGATTGTTACTGTACTGCTAATTATTTTTAATTAAAATCAAAGCTGCCAGTGGGCGTATATTACCTTTCCTGGTAAACTATCTTCAAAATTCGTCAAGAATTGTGCCTTCTGGCTAAAAATTGAACATGTTTTCAAGAACAAGGGCAATAACTCATACTAAAAATATTTTGATTTTCCAAATTTTCAATAGGGTTTATACTTGGGTGATTACAAACACTCATGCTAAGTTTTGTCAAAATCGGCCAAGAATTGTGCCTTCTAGAGTGTTTACAAGCTAAAATTGAATGGCTTATTAAGAACAAGGGCAATACTAAATATTTTTCGATTCTTTTGAGTTTTCAAGAACAATAACACACCAGGTTTCATCTAAATCCGTCAGGCATTGTGCCATCTAGCTAAAAATTGAACAGGTTTTCAAGAACAAGGGCAATAACACATACTAAATATATTTCGATTTTCCAAATTTTCAATAGGGTTTATCCTTGGGTGGTAACAAACACTCACACCAAGTTTCATCTAAATCTGTCAAGAATTGTGACATCTAGCTAAAAATTATACATGTTTTCAAGAACAAGGGCAATAACTCGTACTAAATATTTTTCAATTCTTCTGATTTTCAATAGGGTTTATCCTTGGGTGATTATGTACACTCATTCAAATTTTTCTCAAAATCTGTCAAAAATTGTGTATTCTAGCTAAAAATTGAACATGTTTTGAAGAACAAGGGCAAAAACACATACTAAATATATTTCAATTTTCCAAAATTTCAATAGGGTTTATCCGTGGGTGATAACAAACATTCACACCAAGTTTCATCTAAATCTGTCAAGAATTGTGCCATCTAGCTAAAGGTCAATTTCTCGTACTAAATATTGTTTGATTCTTCTGATTTTCAATAGGGTTTATTCTTTGGTAATTACAAACACTCACACCAATTTTTATCAAAATCTGTCAAGAATTGTGTCTTGTTCTGTGTTTTCGAGCAATTATGGACGGACGGACGGACATGGATGACGGCAATATACGCACCCCTATTTCATGTGGGTGTATAAAAATTGCTAAGGTTTCGATTTCTTTCTCAAGTCGCTATAGACATTGTTATCATTTCTGACAGCTGGTAGTGTTAGTATGTTATCTTGCCTGGCAAGTAATCTTCATATTTTCTGATCATTATATGGACAGGTGAGCCATTCTTTGACAATCACACCTTATTCTCAGAAACTTGCATTTTTTGTCTGAATTTATTTAATATTGTTTACAGCCAGCCTCCAAATCCGTGTGTCTAGAATTATACTTGTTTGAATTATTTTTGAGGGAATTTTTGAACATTTTTAGGATTGAAAAATCAATCTGAAAGTGGCGCCCTGTCCCTATAAATCGAAAAGTATTAATTTGGAGATATTTATACGCCCACATGAAATATTGAGTATGAGTCATTGCCCTTGTTCTAGAAAACATGTTCGTTGCCCTTCGTGAAAACTCTAGAAGACAAATATTCAATTATCAGCGCGGTACTGAATAATAAAACCAACTTTTGTCAAAATCCGACAAGAATCATGCCTTCTTGAGTTTTTACAAGCTATAAATTGACGA